CATCTGGTGAACATTTCATGTCATTAGCACCTCTAGTAATATATTTACTGAGAAAAATGGTGACGTGTTCAATACTTTTACCCACTGTAATTTTTTACAAAGTTTTCCATGTCTTTTTAAACGACTCTATAAATACTTGACAGTGTTCTAATTTCACAGGTACCAAAGTCCTAAAAACTCKCTGTAAAACAGAGGATCCTCACAGTTGTGTTTGGATCAGCGACGCAGCCTCACCACTCCAACAGGAAGCTCTCAAAAGCCCACTGAAACCTTCACTCCTTCAGCTCTGCAGCCCACCGCTGCAAACCCCTGCATCAGTCGCAACAGGACCACAGGACTCTTCTGGGTCGAGCTACAGCCCAGAACAAGCTGCAGGACTTGGAGAGTGCAGTACATCACGAGCTCAGCCCTTAAAATTCTTTGGTTAGTGTCGTGGATTCAAGTGTGGATTAATTTCAGTCTTTTTATCAGTTCATTTGTTGTAAYGTCTGACTGTTCCAGGAGCAAAAGCTCAAGGCTGCAGCTGTTTGCTTCTATCCTTGAATGTGCGTCAGAGTTGGAAATCAGTCATAGGTGAGTGTTTAATACTTTAATTTCTGCACAGTTTTTACATCAATATTTAACATTTAAAAATGGTTTCCTGCTCAGGTATGGCCTCTGTGTGGGAGTGTCGAGGGATTTCTCAGGAAATGTTCTACCTGTGTGAAAGCTGCGAGGCCATGCTGTCTCGTCGAGACATCTTTCAACACATGGTCAGCTTTCAGCACCAGCTCAAATACCTGGTACGTAATAAGAAAAAATCTACTAACCCATGTCTGGATTAGTTTGTGCTCAACACAGGATTTGTGCTTTTTGKTTTGTCCTTTAGTGGAGTAATCACACACAGTTGCTGCAGATGTTCTGGCCGAAGGAAGATCTGCCTCCAGAGTTCAAAACAGATGTTTTAAACTTCATTGTCCAGCAACTTGCACTTCAGGAGCGTTTTCATAAAGTGGATGCACAGGTACTTAAAGTTTATGTATGAAGAAAATGTTGCCATGTCACTTTTTTCCTCCCTTTTCTAAATATGTTTTTCTCCTCAAGTGTGCATTGCTGGGACTGGAGATATATTGGTTTGTTCGAATGACTCATTTCAGTGAAGGTAACAATCTAATATGTTTTCAGAGTTCACAAAACAAATTTATGCACTYACGGTATGAATTTTGCCTTCCTTAGCTTTGAATGTGGTGAGAATAATCACAAACCAGGAGAAATGTAAGGCCTTGTCCCTGCGTGTCAATGCTTTACTACAGAAGGGTGAGTCTTTTAATTTAAGTTCTGGTTTCTTGTTTGCTCACTCAAACACATTTTTTCAAAACAAATAGACATCTTTTTTTGAAAGGCATAAATGGATCGAATTGCTTATATGTTATGTGCCGTGAATACTTTGTTTATAACTGTACAGGCTCCCCAAAATAAATTAGGTGAGCAAACATTAATTTTCTACAATTGGTGTCACATTTTCCAAGAAAGGTGATTAATTTTCTTATTTAATTTTTTATTAATTACAAAGATGGTTTTCTGACAAAATGGATCGTCTTCTCATTGGCACAAAATCCATCCTTGCAAAAAGCAGCAACTTTTCCATTCTCGTTGACAGCATCTCAGCTTTCCTCCGTCCCCACAGGGAGAGTTTAGGTGTTGTCCTAGACAACACGTTATTTAAATTGCATATCAGCACGGATCATTTCCAGAACCTCTATCACCAGTCTTATAACACTTGTCCTGCAGCGTCTTCACTGGCCCCTCATCAAATTTTGCATTTCCTAGAAAATCCCTTTCAAAGCACTCAATAACCTCACCCCCAGTATCTTTTGCCCCTTTTCCACCAGTGCCACTTAGTGTAGTGTCGGTACAGTCAGCGTCAGAACGGGTTAGTTTGGGTGCTTTTCCACTGATGTTCCAGTCTGGTTCCAGTGGGTGTGTTTTGGGCGGTTGGTGGAGGTGGTTTTTGGGTATTTCGAAAAAAAAAGTTAATGCGCAAAATGAGAGATGGAAACACATTTTATACACAAAAAAACACGACTAATGTCACTGTTACCGTTGAAAAAAATGGCTCCTTGAGTTGTTGTTGTTGTTGTTGTAAAGGCAGCTCAGACGCAATCAGTGGCTCCACCCMCTAGCCAATCAGTGACGAACAGTGTTCTGACGTCGCATTTTGGTGTMKACTTGGACCACTTGGAATCACAATGAAGTAGGTACTAAAACAGGGCTGKTTCCATGAATCTGGCCWAATGGAAATGGCTTGGAACCGTACCGACACTACACTAAGTGGCACTAGTGGAAAAGGGGTATTACAGAACTTCCCCACATCCTTCACTCTCAGCTCCCACAACTGTCCAAAACCACTGTGTAGTCACGCTGCCTGACTTTGGTCTTGTTTGCTATAAGTTTTTTTTTCTTTAACATTTTTGTTGTTTTTCTGCGCAGGACAACAGAATGACTTCTTGAGAACAGAAAAGCCTCTTTCCACCAACAGTGTGTTACCTTCAACATTAAACACAAAACACAGACGTGACTTTGGTAAGATTACTAATTGTTAGAAACGATCAAATTAACAGAACTTTTGTCTTTATCTTTCCAGAACTCTGTTTGTAGTTGTGTATACTTTTGGTATTTTTTATAGGACAACGGCAAAAGAAAAGTCACATTTGAGTCGTCCAGAAATCCTAATCTGATGTCCAAATACTCAAACAAGATTTGTTTCCTGTCTTAAAGCAGTTTTAATCCCCCCCCCCTTTTTTTTTTCCTTTTAGAAACTGGACAAAAAGCAACAAAAACTGATGAACGGATGTCAGTGGTTGAAGATCCATACATGGTCATAAAAAGAGAAGTCTCATGTCCAGATGGGAGATCTTCTTCTGTGAAGAAGAAACCTTATGCCTCTCCGATCGCTGTTCATCCTAACCCTCACAAGACAAGCCAGGGTTCTTCTCCCCAACCAACACTCGCAGCAAATCTTCAAAGCTCTTATCCACTGCCCCGAGTTAAACTGTCAGAATCACCTTCCTCCTCTGCAGTCACTCAAAACGTAGAAGCTTCCCTCACGAAGAAATCCCCTGGAATCAGGAAGAGAGCAGCAGAGACTTTTCTTGGAACTTTACAGTCGTCCTGCACCAGCAGCCCACTGGCACACCCTTTACCAGCTAAATGTGCACGCAGCCCGGTGACGGTTAAGACTGAGCCCCAACCTCACTCCACTGAGACCTCCACCCCACTGGCTCTGAAACACGGCACCCCAGCACCCAAACCAACCCCGCACACCGTGGACAGAGCATTGTTCTCTGAGCTGATCTTGGAGTTAAACATGAACTCTGAGAATATTGATTTCAATTTCCCGTTGGCTTTGGCCCATTCTCCAGCGAGCAGCTCCTGCGCTGCCGTTTCACCCGGAAACGAAAAAACTAGATGGGATTCAAGAGTTGTGGTTATAAAATATCCAACTGCAGTTCTTAAGAGAAGGTGGGATTCAAAGTGTCAGCTGGTCAAAGCTACGGTGAAGAAAAACGTACCCATAAACTTTGTGGAAGGGTTCAAGACAGAACCCCTGACCACTGACATCCATTCTGCTTCAGGCAGCATCTCGTGTCAGCCGTTGTTAAGTGGAAGCTACTTAGATGCCTCAGCTGCAGCCTCTGTTCAGTCAGCGTCTACTGCTGCCACTGCAGACCCCAAAGACCCTCACACTCTACAGAGCTCCAGTGCTCAAGATGTTGGAAATGTGAACATTTCAGGACAGAAACCACAGAGCAGCTCAGTACCAAGCAGGTCTGAGATTCCTCAGCAGTCCCCTAGCACCGTCGCAACCGCCCGACCAGAGCTCGTTAATCTCAGCTTCCTGGTCCGCAGTAACAATGAGACCATCAGGTTAGTTTCCACACTGATCCAACAGCTCATCTCACTGAGTCTGTGGCAACTTCTGAATGTTCTCACGCTCCACACTGCCAAACTATAGGTTTATTTATTTATTTATTTTGGTCTTCATTGTCTTGTTTCAGGTTTTACAACATGCAGTAAAACTCACTGCACTCAAGCCAGCAGCACCTGCAGCAGATGGAGGCGACAGTCAGCGGTCCTGTAGATAAAGTTCAGCAGCTCAAATACGTCCAGGCACAGGGTCAACAGAGCTGCAACTCATGGAGCTGGAAACGTGAAAGCTGAAGATGTTTTCCCTCTAAACTTTCAACTCAGTTCGAATATTTTTAATTGCTTTGAAATGTGTTTTTTAAATGAAGGGTTTCATTGGAAAAGCTCGTTAAATTTGACTGAGTAGTCCAAGAAGGTGTTAAGTTTCAAACTTTTTTGTATTTGAGTAAAAAATTCAGCCAATGGGGAAAAAATGGCAAATTAGACTTTTATCTCTTTTCAGTTTTGTGAGATATTTTTAGTTTTTGCAATAGTTGTATTCGATATTTATGTTGTACAACTTTGTTTGGGGAAAGTTATTTTATATACATTGTTAGTGATTAAAATGTAGCTACTTTTAATTAACTGTTACTAAATGTGAAAAGTGTTATTGCCTCTGTTGGAATGCTTGTATCAGCACTTCTGCAGATGTCATTTRAACTGATAGTTTATAGATAAGTGATGATTCCTTTACTAGTGAGTTAAAGTTGTCATTGTGCTAAGGCCAGTGTTTATTTTTCACTTTTTCTTCAGAAAACAGTTGCGCCTGCATCTTTGAGATGGTTTTATAAATGAGAATAAATTTCTGAACTTAAAGAATTATTAATGGTGCAAAGTGTAGCAGGAAGTTTGAAGCAATAAATCCAACTTAATCTTTTTGCATGTAGGTGTACACACAAAAGTTTTGTATAAAATATAGAGAACAAGGGGGATTTACATACATTTTTCTGATTGAATGTGGTTATAGATGGTTAAAATATTACCTTTAAATGTCAGTAAAGAAACTTGATAACAGTGAGGCCCTGGTAGTTAAAGGGGTGGTATGTTTTTAAAATAATAAACTATAGAGCTTGTTAAAAACTCACTAAAAGAAAACAGTTCAGTGTATCTGTATCTAAAACTACCATTTGTTTAATCTAAAGTTTATATCGAAACTGCCTTTTTCTGTGTGCTCAGACTGTTAAAACGTTCCTAATAAATTTCATGTTTGACTTTTGCCTCCTCTCTTTTCATTTTTAAGACTGGGATGTAAGACTGTCTGTTTCTGGGATGGGATGTTAAACTGGGAGCAAAGGAAGGGAGGTGAGCACGTGTGGCTGCTCCCACACAAGATATTTGCTGCAGCCTTGAGCCTCACTGAAATCTTCACTCCTACACCCATGAGAAACTCGCTGTAGGTGATTTTCCGTTAAGATGTAAATATCACCTGCAAACACAAAGCAATGCATTGTGACKGGTTTTAAACTTGCTGTTCCAGTCTGACCCTTAAAAAAACTGCACTTATTTGACTTTCCTGCAGTGTTGTGTGATACTTCATTAAAAGTACAACCATCTGAGCATAAAATTACTTACTTGAGTAAAAGTCTTAAAGTATCTAATATATTTTTACTAGAGGAAATTTCTGATATAAAATACACTTATGTATTAAAAGTAATGAGTAAAGATGAGCAGTTAGATTTTCTCATATTTGTAATTTATTGGGAGGTGTGTATATATA